CATTAATTCTAATTCTTGCTTTGCAGCCTCAACTCGTATACCCAGGGCAAACATTACATTAATAAGGTTAATGACAAGGGGTTACTGCCTTACAAATGTTTTCAAATTGGCGGTGACGATCGCAGAATAAAGAACAGAGCTGAAAAAGAGATGACCGGGTGTGTATATAGACACGTACACAGGCAACGTCGAACCTGACCGGCATTTAAAGAAGAGCTACTCAATATGCAATAAACACATACATTCACAAATACATTTAGGGAAAAGGTCACTCACTCAACTTCAAATCACGCGAAAGACAGGCGCTGTGAAAAAAATGTATTGATTGAACAAGGTCGAGAGGCAAATCCATCTCGAGGAAAGGTAGGGGAACAAAAACCACCCACACATCAAGCGCTCTTCAAAAGAAAAAAAAATATATATAACATGCATTCGGGGCTTGCGTGCGTGCTGAATATGGCTCTTGCACGCTTTCCTCTCCTCTTTCGACGGAGGTGGTCTGAGCACCAGTACTTTTCGCCCTCTTGCTGTACGTACAAATTCGGGCGACTTGACGGGGAGTTGCGGTGCAAAGGGCCAACCTCACGTCGGCGCAACTCGGTGGTAGCGAGCGGCCATTCCCAGCGCTTTGAGTAACAAACCTAAACTGGGACGGGGCTGCTGGGCTGCATATTTGCAGGAGGGAGAGACACGTTTGAGCAGGGGGACGCACGTTGCAAGGTGCCAGAGGGTGTGTGGTGGACTTATTCTGGTGGATGGTGAGTGTGGGGTAAACTAAGCTATTTTTATTTTACCAGCTAAGGCCCACTGAGCTATATAAAACTATTTTTCAGAAGCGACCTGGCCACAAGTGGAAATTTATAGCAGCCAAATTCTAATGTGGATGGAAAATCGGAGGACCCAGAGAAAAATCCATGCAACCACAGAGGAAGCATGCAACAAATATACAACAGTCAGGGTCGGGATTGAAGCCACTATCGCCTGTATACCAGGCAAAGTAGTTAACACGTCGCCACCGTGGTGCCACACAGTGGATTTGGACAGCAGCTTGCGACCAAATCACATCCTGAACGCGCGCACGATTTTGTTGGACTTTGAAAGCTAAGCAGACGTGAGCCTGGTGACAACATGAATGAGAGACTGTCTGGGACAACCACGTGTTGTAGGCTTGGCCTGTGAGGTGACACAGATGTTTTTGCTCCGATTTCTAATTACTTCATTGCTATACTGTACTCTGTTTTTTATTTTTGTTGTTGTTGCGATTTTAGTGACCCAGGGTCAAATCTATGAATGCGACTATCCTGTTCTCTTGAGCTCTAACCTCGTTAAACAAATACACTTGACTAAACGTGACTCGACCAAGAGATGGCAGTGTGGTCAATCAATTCTTGAATCTAATTGTGTGGATCTTTGAGTGTCTGTCACTCCCTCGTATGCTTGATGTGTATTCTACAGATACCATCGTTCCCTTCCACATGCCAAGCGCTCATTAACCCTTTCCCATTCCGATAACGTACTTGCACACCGTGAGTTTTTCTTCTGATTCCATTCCGATAAAGTACATGTACGTCAAAATAAAATAGCTTTATCGACACCGAGGCTCTCACAAGGCCACGCGGGAGGGTGTGCGGAAGTTTGTCACCAGCTATCATAGAGTGCGGTCGTGTCACTACAGTTCTCTGCGGTGAGTACAGCACAATGTCTTTAAAAAAACGGTGCTACACCTTCTCTATCTAAAACACTGAGCCACTCACGCGCTCCGAGTTTTAGCGGTGAATGGGACACCGACCCTGCAACTTGCAAATGTCTCGGAATGAGGAAATGGTTAATGGAACTGACCAAGCGACTGAATGCAGGACCTTCCAGAGGGAAAAAACAAAGTCTTGAGACTCAATGAGGCTTTCTTCGGAATAAAATCTAAACCAAGGGCAAAATAACTGCAACAAAGATACCCCCCTTCTAATTCCATAGCTTTGTGAGCTCTGTAGCCACAGCTCGCCATGATAACGCATAGACTCACCCAGAGACCCATTGTTTGTTGTCCTGACCCCGCACCTCCGATTAGCATGGTTGGCTACGTACGGTGCGAACGAAGTTCTACATACATAACATTTCAGACAGCCATATCACCCCCCCCCCCCCGCACTGCAAAAACTTGGCAAGACCCTCCATGGTAAACAAGCAGAAGTAAACATCTGTATTGCCGCCGAATGTCATTTGTGTTGATTGAGCGCGTCTCTCGCGCGGTCTTCACGGCTGAGCCATCGTTCCGTTACCTCGTTTCGTCACGCCGACTTAATTTGGCTCTCCGAGCCATATAAGCATTTTTCAATTAAGCTAGGGAATCCTGAGACTAATGGAGCACGCAGATTGTGTCGTTATTAAGCTGATGGGGACGGGGCACAGCTATAAACAATTCTGCATCGCTAGCACAAGCCCCAACATCTGGTTTCCTCCCCCCCGTGCCCGTCCCCCCCCCCCCCCATTCTGCCACTTTGCGTTTCTTCCGCCCCCCCCAGCCCCGTTCATTTATGAAACGGGCGAACCGTGCAAGCGGAACGTGGCGGTGGCCGCGCGCTCGCTCGCTCGTTCCCCTCCCAATGTCGATCGGCCTACTGAGACCCGGTGGGCTCGCGTCTTTTTGTTTTGTCGCGAAATTTGCCAGCCCCTACAGAAATACATCGCGAGGGACGAGCGGAGCGGTGAGTGCGGCGGGCTCTCGAAATCCTGACGCTCGGTCGCCGAGTTAGCACGGTCGGCTACGTGCGGTGCGAAAGAAGCTCGAGGTACATTGCTCGTTAGTTCCGTGTCCGACCACGGATAACATCGTAGCGGTGGCGAACGTGAGATTTCAACCGGTTCCCGGGTTGTCGCTTCCATCACTACACCCCCCCCCCCCCGCCACCACCACGAACTCACCACTCCCCCGCGACGATCCCACGGCATTGATTAAGAAACAGCTGCAAAGTTCAATTTAATTAATTCGAGAAATAATTAGAGCGCATTGCGAGTGTTCTCCTCTTGTGTACACAGATTTACAAGAGGCACTCCACTTTCCGCCAACACAAACAACAACCTATCGAGGACTATAATCCGCGAGGCAAGTCAAGCAAAAACATCGTAATTATTGCGCCCCTTCCTCCCCCGCGCCACTCTCTCCTAAGTTTTCGCTAATTATCTGTAAATTGATGCACTTATTGAAAGAAAATGGAATTGTTTTTTTTACCTGTTCGTCAATCACGTATGAAAGAAGGCAAAATATTTTTTTAACAGAAAATAATTGAGTTCATTGAATAATTTTCTAACGAGTACAAATTAGAGAGATGTTGACAACGACGGCCGTGTAGTATTTTAGGTTCCTTTCCACGCTCTCGCATCAAATATTAAGCACTTGACAACCTTGAAATGTTACACGCTTTCCCAACAGGGGGTTGCAAGCGTTAATGCATCAGCTCCATTCATCCGTCTGTCTTTCTGTCTGTAATCGGTGATTCCACATTGCAAAAAGAAAACATTCAACGTAAAGTTCTGGTTTCCATTCCAGACTTTGCCCTTTAGAAAACCCGAGCAAAGAATGTATCAAAGAGCAGCCTAAAACTAGAAGATGAAAACCCAGCGCTGAAAAGAATCGCGAAAAAAATAGCGCACGCCTCAAAGTCAACCTCACTGTTCCGACAAAATCACAGCGCGTGAAGTCACCTTGCGACGCACAGACCCCCTCACGACCGCATCATCACGAGCGAGACGTCACACGCGCCGCGCTGCATGGCGTCACCTTCGCGAGCGCCACGATATTTTAGCGACGAACAAAAAAAAACACCACCGTAGAAAAAGTGTGTCCAGAATCCATGAATGTGCACGTTTCTTCTTCCTTGTTTTCTTTCAAGCGTCAGACCAATTACCACGCGACCGCTCGTCAATTGCAGACAAGGTCAACTGGGCCTTGTCTGCAATTACATTCTGACTCCTGGATTGCCACTCCTGAGTCGTATCATGATAAAAATTCAGTGTAGATAAACAACATCTTTCAAACCTTTGCACAATACTTCACGTATATCTTAAGCGGTGCAATGTTGTTGCATGCATCAGTGTGTTACACGAAGTTATTGGTCGTCTCGACAACTTGCTGCGATTCTAAGTTCACGTGTGCTCCTGCTATCCGTGTGCAGCGCTCTGCTAAAATGTGCAGAAGTGGATCTCAAAACCTCCATGGGAGGTGGGGGGGTTAGCGGCTGTCCAGAAATTCAAGCTTTTCAAATAGGGCCCCTCAATAAAAACACAAACATTCAATGTACTTCCTCTGGTTAATATCGATACAACCAAGGCTTTAGTACTCACGTCCGGGCCCGTTTGCACGGGCAGCCGACGTCACGCTCCAATCACAATGCGTGTGCTCTCAAGGCGGGGGAGGGGAGCAGGCAGCATCGCCTCCATGCAAATCAATTTATAACATTTTTGACATGCGTTTTTTCTGGAATTTCTTGTTGTTATTCTGTCTCTCACTGTTCAAATAAACCTACCATTAAAATTATAGACTGATCATTTCTTTGTCAGTGGGCAAACGTACAAAATCAGCAGGGGATAAAATTAGTTTTTCCCTCACTGTAAGTAACAAGGTCGTGGGTTCAATGCCAACCCTGTATATTTGGAGCTTGCGTGTCTCTCTCCCCGTGATCGCGTGGATTTTTCTCCTGGTCCTCTGGTTTTCCCCTCCACGTTAAGAAGCAACATCACCACGCATTTAGATAATTTGGCTGCTGCTGTATTTCTACATGATAAGCCACTTCGTTGGGCTATCATTTGTGTTCAGGTCACTTCTGAAAAAGAGATATATAGTTCAATGAGGCCATACCTGGTAGAATAAAAAAATAGCTTAGTTGAATTAGTTTTAAGTTCACTGATTGTACACTTTGTGTGAGGTGCGCTAACAAGAAAGAAATGATGACGATGGAGTCCAAAGCCAGGAACGAGACCGAGCAGTGGCAGGGCGGGCCCCTTACCGGCGTGCGAGCGTGGCACGTAGAAGTGACCGTGGTTGGGTCCGTCCGGCGCCTGGCTGAGGGTGCAGCCACGGGGGCCCAGGCACACGCGACTCTGGAAGGGGAAGCGTCGCATCTGGGAGAAGAAGAGTCTGCTGCTCTCACGGTGGTGGGTGGCGGTGGGTGGCGGTGGGTGGCGGTGGGTGGCGGTGGGGGCGGTGGGTGGCGGTGGGTGGCGGTGGGTGGCGGTGGGGGCGGTGGGGGCGGTGGGTGGCGGTGGGTGGCGGTGGGGGCGGTGGGTGGCGGTGGGTGGCGGTGGGGGCGGTGGGTGGTGGTGGGGGCGGTGGGGGCGGAGGGGGCGGTGGGTGGCGGTGTGGGCGGTGGGTGGTGGTGGGGGCGGTGGGGGCGGTGGGGGCGGTGGGGGCGGTGGGGCCGGTGGGGGCGGTGGGTGGCGGTGTGGGCGGTGGGTGGTGGTGGGGGCGGTGGGGCCGGTGGGGGCGGTCGGTGGCGGTGGGGGCGGTGGGAGCGGTGGGGCCGGTGGGGGCGGTGGGTGGCGGTGGGGGCGGTGGGTGGCGGTGGGTGGCGGGGGGGGCGGTGTGGGGGAGGAAAAGACACAACGAGCGGCGAGGCGTGTCAGGCTTCACGTAGCGATAACTTGGCACCTACCTGGCTCAGCGGCTTAGCCCAGCTTGCATGGGCCCTGGTGAAATTAATGAATGAAATCGGGGTCCATGTCCAATTCCCCCCCCACTCTCCTTCTTTGTCGACCTGTCCACTTGATAGAAACGCCGCTGCTTGTAAGCACACCTCATTGCCTGCCATTGCACGAGGATATTGTCACATATTGCAGGTATTTCAAAAGGTTTACAGATGTAGCAATTCACTCTTTGTTGTGACCGAGGACAGCAAGTTGTCAAGACGACCAATAACTTTGTGTAGCACACCGATGCATGCAACAGTTCGCAGCGTTTAAAATATATACGTGAAGTATTCCCGTCTAGCACCGACTGGCGCCGCCAAGATGCTTGCAGTGAATGGACAAATGTCGTGGGCTGTGCAAAGTAAAGCCGTGGGCCGTGTGAAATTAAATAGTGGGCGGTACGAGATGAAATCACGGTACGTGCGGGATGAAGGCACGAGACGTCCTGGAAGAATTTCGATTTAAAGCTTTCGTGACTGCAGGGATTCATCTTCTTGGTTCTTTCGGTAAAGTCGTCACGTAGAAGGGAAGTAATAAAATAATAAAAATAAAACATAATATATTTTTATTATTTTATTACTTCCCTTCTAGGTGACGACTTTACCGAAAGAACCAAGAAGATGAAGTCCTGGATGAAGTCACGGCCATGTGAGATGAAGTCACTGGCCGTGTGAGATGAAGTCGTCGGGTCCGCTGTCCCGCACGAAGGCCTTAAGTGTGGGAAGGCCCGATGCGATTGCTCCTCACCGCGTGTTGGGCTGACGGGACGCAGAGGCGTAGAAGGAGAAGTGGAGCTGCCAGCCACGGCGCGGGTCGCATTCCGGGGCTGACGTGAGCAGGAACTTGGCGGGCACGCGGGGGCCGGGCAGGCCCAGCGACGACACGCACACGCACAGGCGGCGGGAGAAGTTTCCAAACGCACGTGGGAAAACCTAAGCGGGCGCGGGAGACCGCGTTAGGACGAGGGGGACAGAGGGAGATAGAAACAAACGGACCAGGATGGAGATTGTCCACCTCTCACCTCTCCTCGCCCGGCAACAAGCTACCAGCAGCCGCAACTCTGCACCTTTATTCAATGGGAGGTCGCTCTTTCTCCTCTGCTGACCCAAGTCTGGAAGTCCCTCTGGCAGCACTGAGATTTCACCCTTTCACACCCCGCAAATTAAATAATAATATCAAGGCTCAGATCTACTTCGACTGCCAATGTTTTCTTTTTCACCCATTTTACGTGTCATGTTCTGCCTATGCATTGGACATAGGAACTCATCCCAATTACTAATTCTTCATTCATTCATTCAGTTTTATGGATACAATTGACTGAATATTGCTATAGATGGGCAACAATGTGTTGGTCCATCTCTCGACCCGTCAATCTGCGTGAAGGCATGCCTCATGCGTACATCTGTGTTATATGGTATATGTATGTTTGTGTTTTTCATACAGTTGAATTCCCGCATCAAGCAGAGGCTCATATGATGGACTGGTTTTCCAGTTTGTAAAAAAAAAAAATGCACCTTCTTTAGAATTTGCCGTGGAATGTTGAGACGCACACGCATATGTAAGTGATTTACAACTCAAAATTATATAACTGTGTTTCTCCCTGGTGTGTTCCGAGTTGTACGGCGTATTCCTCGGCTTGTCCGACGCTTTGCTCCGTGCGCTGAGAGCTCCTTACAGAAAACCGCTCCTGTAACCGTTCCTGAAAAACTCTCCCTTGTCGAAGCTCCAAACACGCGGAGCGAAACGCCGGACATCATGCCGAACAACAGCAACCAGCTAGCCGGGTATAACTTCGCAGCGGAACGCCGTGTTCACTAGGGCGAGTGCATTGCAACAGCGAGTTTAAATAGAGAGCGGAAAAAAAAACATGATGAGGGGATGACTGCGGTCAGGAGAGCATGGCAGACGGCGATGGACAAAGAGAAAGAGGCACAGCGAAGTTGACAGAGCGGAAGAGCGAGAGAGAGCGGAAGAGCGAGAGAGAGAGAGAGACAGAGCGAGCAAGAGATCGAGAGACAAAGAGAGAGCGAGAGAGATGCGAATCCAGTTCCAAGCGCTCACGTACAGCAAACATGATTTTCACACCACAGGGCAGAGCTTTATGTTTTTTTTAGGACCAACAGCAAATCTAGCACTGGCATCATAGTTGCCACTATCTCATTTCCCATTTAATCTACTTGCAGCGAGTGCTGGCTGGCAAGACCAGTTTAGGAAAGGGGGGGGGGGGGTGTAATAGGAAAGTTTAATGCCCTTGGCCTGAATCTGACCGCGAGCAATCGGCTGTCTCATGAATCTTCTTCAAGTGCGGCATCTGCAAGTTGTTGTTGTCCCCCTCCTCCATCCACTCGCCTCTCTCACGCCGAAACAAAATCCTCGGCCGCCGCCACTTTCAAAGGAGGCGGCAGACAACATGAAACGGCGCGGGATTTGTGGGCAACCTCATAGAGCAGAGCCGATAATTGCTTGACCGTCGTGAGCATCCCCAAAAGAATTGAGCAGGCTGCAGCTCTCGACGGCTGGCCCCGGTACATCGCACTCCGTGGCGGCGCTCGGCATAAGAAAACCAAACCGGAGCCTTCGTGCGCCAGGCAGCTCAAGGGGTTGCGGATTCATAAAAGCCATGGGGTATGCACCAAATACTGTTGTCAGCTTGAACCTGGTGGTAAATGAGCTTATTTCAAACAGCGTATTTCTATGATACACAGCATATAATGTTTGTAGTTACGTGCCACACCCGAAAAATATAATTTCATACTCAGGGCACCCAGCGGGCTGGCAGCTGCTTACAGAGACGTAAATGTGGTGGTTGTGAAGAGCGCAAATCTCTGAAGATTGGAACAGCATTCGTTCTCAGACAACGCAGACAGGAGGAGTTGCGCGCATGTGGCTTCGCCAGCATGTAAAGCTTATGTTTTTGTATCGCCGATTTTCCCTGGATGTAAACCCCGCTGATATGATAACGCCGCTAAAGGGATTTTCGTTGCGAGCCATAGGGGGGGTCCGTTTTAATCGCGTGGGAAGCGCCTTATTTTCTTAACACATCAGCAACACACATTGGGCATCTCTCCCACACACACACACGATCCAATGACATCCATTGCACAAACCTCATAATTATAATAAACGTCATGGGGGGCGGTGGGGGTTAAAACGTAAAACGATCAACCGTTTACTTTCTTCAGTCTTCTGACTCGATGCCTTATATAGGCCTCCTCCCAAAGCAATTGACGTGGAAGCGAATTCTCCTTCTAAAAGAGAAACCGCCAACAAGTGGAAAACTTCAGTCTCGCCGAGTTTGCTTTGCCGTCAGCCCTCCTCAGTGACCCCAAGCTGAATATCGCAGGCCAATCGATCCCCATCTCATCTTATCCGACCTCCCCTCTCGTGTACCCTCTGCTCCCCCTAACTCGGATAACTCCAGCTAAGTGAAGTGTGGAATTCCATCCCCTTCGCGTCCTATTAAACATATGGGCGTATCGGCGGTCCACGTATTGCAGTAGAACACACCGGTCCTCATAAAACAGTCTAAAATCTCAATTTTAACCGCCAAAATGTATCTGTTCATCGATTCGAAGGTTTACTCAGTCTGCTGAGACTGAATAAACCTGAATGGATGAACCATCCGAAGAAGTCGAGGGCACAAGGAGTGAAATCTGCCTTTGGAACACGGAGCAGCCAATCGTCATCAGGACGGTTGTGATGCTTTCCGGCAACAGACTGCGAAGCTTCGAGTTCAGCCGCTCATATAAACACCCATCTTCCGACTGCTTCGACATCAACGGAATTGATTTTGACGCACCTCCCCGCAGGATTTTCTGACCGGGGATGCAAATCCCGGGAGAATAAATAATTATTGCAAAACATTTTTTTTTATACCGCATACCACCGGTGTACCGCCAATACGTTCACTTATAAATTGTTCACTGCGAATAGACAATGCAGAAAGAGTAATGGGCAATGTAGAGCTCAAACAAACGCGTGTGTAAGACAGATTTAGCACTGGTTTTTTTTTGCTACAATTGACCGCATTCTATCAATCGGATTCCATCAAAGACACGTGAATATCGAATACCATTATGCCTCACCTTTGTCGCCTCTAAAATACATTTATTCGACTTCGGTTGAAATTGATGTAACAAACCAAGCTCTCACAAACCAAAGTCGGAATACAAATGTTTTTTTCACGCAAAAAAATTATAAACCATTTTACAAGGGTGGTAAGGCTACAATAAAAACCAATGCATGGAGAAAGCAAATAAATAAATACCAGAAGTCAAGTGAGTAAAGGGGATATACATTGTTGATGAAGTTATTTGCAGGAATATTAAATGATATTCTCAGAAAATTGGACTTTAGAAATAAATGCATAACATCAACGGTGACGATATTCACCAATGTATGTGTATCTACGTGCCTTTACCGAAAGACGCAAAGAATATGAATACATATTATTGGTTCTTTCGGTAAAGTCACGTAGAAGGGAAATAATAAAATAATACAAATATAAAACAATAAAAATTATCACGACGTTTCGACTGCAACACAAACAATCATCATCAGGTGTGAAATCCACAGCAAGAAATTTTTGAAAAAAGTGTGGTTTTCACACCTGATGACGATTGCTTGTGTTGCAGTCAAAACGTCGTGAGAATTGTTATTGTTTTATATGTGTATTATTTTATTATTACCCTTCTACGTGGCTTTACCGAAAGAACCAAGAATATGAATCCCTGAAGTCACGAAAGCTTTAAATCGAAATATGAATACAATTTATGCGTGCTGATGGGAGTCAAAGAATGAAATGAAAAACAGGAAATTATTCAAGAACCTTGATAAAAGAAGGCTGCAAAGTTGTGTTCAAGGCAAGTCACGTACAACAAGCTTGCTGAACAAAACAAATATCTGTTGGGGGGGGGCGCAACTGTAAAAGACATCACATGTATACAATAGGAAAATTACTGAAGGCAGACCGAAATGTTTTTTTTAAATTAAATAACGATGGCCATCTGTGCTGTCAACGCCCTGTCAGTGATCAAGTCCAGACTGAATACCATCCTCTTCTGCTCTGCTCATGCCCGTCTCTGCAAGAGTCTTCACTAATACCTTCGCTTATAAACAGCTTGTTACACATATTCTTGGTTCTTTCGGTAAAGTCACGTAGAAGGAGAATAATAAAATAATATAAATATAAACCATATTTATTTTACTTCTCTTTTGGGGTGTCCCCGTGATCCATAAGGTTACCGAATCTGTGTACAACGTCATGAGATGTCGTTCCAATTAGACACTCTAGAACTCAAAATCGCATTGTTATCACGAAACTGGAGTAAAAATCATCAGGAATAAACTGGCCAAGAATCTCGCGCAGTAAATTCACCGAGACGTTATGAAATTAATAGGCTATTGCTTACAGGAATAATGCATTAGCACGGATTCTGTCCTCGGTTAACGAGCATTATGAACAACGATGTGCGTTGAACTTCTTTCGCACCGTACGTAGCTAACCATGCGAATCGAAGGTGCGGTGGTGCTCGCGGAAGGTGCACACAGGAAGGTGGCAGATTGTCCGTAGGGCCCCGTTGAGACCGCTGGGCACGGCTGGCGGTGGCTTCAGCCTGCGAGGACTCTCCTCGGCAGGCAGGGTTGGGATGCCGAGGGGAGGTTCTTTTAATGATGGGTTTTTTTATCCCAAAGTTTTGGGCAAACCTTTGATCAATGTGTATGATTCACCTTAATTTGATTGGGTTGTGTAGCTTTTTTTGCTGTTAAATATTTAATCTGTGAATTGCATAAAAGTACGAGTAAAATCTGATTACTTATTTTAATGCATAATTGTGAGATAGCTATTTTGTATGATGTATGTATGCACTTCATTCGCTCCGTACGCAGCCAACCATGCTAATCAGAGATGAAAAAAGTCGTATTTTTCATATATATGAAAACTTAATATTTGTTATATTACTAAATACATTTTGTATTACTACCGTGTTAAATGTATATAGTTTTTGTTTAATACTGTCCAACTAGGGTAGCATTAGCTCTGTCTCTCCATCCATTCATCCATCTATCTGTCTATCTGTCTGTAAAAGGGAGGCAATGATAACTCTTGCAGCAAATGTATTCCAATATAAACGACACTTGAAGATAGAATCGCAGCACAATTAAGAGCAAATCCCTCACGGCAGCACAATTTGACACGAACGTTTTCTTTGTTTTGGGTCACCTTTGCAAGAGTCAGCGTGTCCTAATCGCGGCACAATTGTATACCCAAGGTTTGTTCGCCTTAGGTCATCATCTTTGCAAGTGTTGTCGTGCCCCCACATTAGATGGCGAGACGGGTGGATGGATGAGCAGACAGTTATAGCGTGTCCTTAGTTGGAAAGCGATGAACAGAAACTATACCCTATTAATACTGTTAGGTTTTTTTCGGTAAAGTCACGTAGGTAAAAATAAATAATAAAAATTAATAATACAAATAATAGAATAATATAAATATTTCGGTAAAGTCACGTAGGGTAAAATAAATAATAAAAATAAATAATACAATTTATAGAATAATAGAAATATTTCTAATATTTTTATAATTTATTATTATTATTTACTTTTACCTACGTGACTTTACCGAAAAAACCTTAGAGTATGAATCATTGCAGTCACAAAAGCTTCAAATCTAGAATTTATACCCTATTTATCACAACATTAACGACGATTTATTTATTCACAAAATAAACGTGAGTTTACGACACAAATGTTCATCTTATAACTACCCATTATAAAAAAAAGCCTAATATATTATGCATACGTCTGCTTTTTAGAGACAGTCTTAACAGCAAAAACGGAATGCCACTATTTTAGTTTACGACGGGTTATATTGAGACATTATTTATTGAGTATTTTTATTTGTGCACTCACACACTTGCAGCAATAACGGCAATGATTAATAAGACGACGCCAACAACAACAACAACGACGACGACGACGAGGAGGACACCAATCCCACACCAGGCCTCACCTTGAAGGCCGGCACCTCACCGTTGCCAGGTGCCAGCTGTTGCCACGGCGATGGAGGAACGGGGTCCAGAGAGAAGCGGTAGACGGGGGGCTCCTGCCGCTCCCCTGCAATCTTGCTCACGAACACCGTCTGCACGAAGTCTGCCGGCGAAGCGGAAAGGAAAACCACCGTGGGTCCAGCTTTCGGCTGGGCCACCAAACAAAGACGGGCCACTGCACCGCGCGCTTTCAGATGCGCTTCTGCGGCCGTCTGGAACGCTCTTCCTTGCGATGTTAGAAAGCCACTGGGAGCTGTGTACTTTCAAATCCAGATTGAAAACTCATTTCTTTAGAACTGCTTTTGTCTCGACTTAAAGCTTTCGTGACTGCATGAATTCATACTCTTTGGTATGAAGTCACGTAGGTAGAAAAATAATAAAAATAATTTTTATTATTATTTATTTCTTTTTTCTATCTACGTGACTTTACCGAAGGAACCAAAGCGAAGAACTGCTTTTTGTGTTTAGTTTGTTGTCCTTCTCCCACACCTCCGAGAATCACGGTTGGCTACGTACGGTGCGAAAAAAGTTCAACATACATTCCTACATAGAGAGGGCATCACGTTAGCAGTGCTGTACGTGTGCAATGATTCATCCCCTGGCAACGTGGATGAAGGTTAGAGGTTAAGGTGCAGCCCTTCAATTCCTTGCTCAAGTCACTGCCGCCAAAAGGACCTCAACTAGAGGGAGCGCTAGAGAGCTCCGCTCGAGCGGGTATTTTGGCCTACTCTTCTAAGCTGGTCAGAAGTCTTGGACGAGGTAGGAATACCCACACTTTACCCAGCCACACGTGACCTACCTATTGACTCTCTGTGATGTATCCATTTAAACTGTTGGGTGGACACAGGTGAGGTGATTTAAGAATTGCACCGTAGCTTCAACTGCCACGCCGGGAGATCGAACCAGCATCCTCTGAATTGCAAGTCTCTCGTGCCCTAACCATTGCAGCACGGCAGCATCCCTCACGATTTGATGAACTTGGGGTGACAATTATGATTCAAGAATCATTCGAATATTTTTTGTCTCTCTGATATTGTTGAATCAGTTTCTATTTATTATATTTGTACAGCATTGTTTAGTCCAGGATCCTATCTATAACAATAGCATAACATTCCCCTATAACTCCCGTTTTCGTATAAATAATCTATTCTTAACAAATAATTGTATGCAGCCATTGCACGCTAAAGAATCGACATTTAAACGATACTGATGCATCGTTACATGCCAGCCAAAGCCAACTGCCTACAGGATACAAAAAAACAATTTCTGTCGTTGTAAAGAATGTGAGTAACAAAATAAATAAGCAGACAATAAGTCCCTCCTATATATCTGTCTCTCCACTTAGACAATAAAATGTGTGTATATTTATACACCCCATTAGCCAGACCAGCCTCTTGGGTGTGAATCTTTTCAGCAGCAGGTTGACTCTGCTGATGAGACACCGTACGTCAGAACCGGTGCAGAATTCGCTCGCAATTCAGAATCGGAATCTTTATTTAGACTGGAGGACGAAATCCGATGAGCTATGAAGCTCTTTGTCACCACATGTCCAGTACTGGGCGGCGGGTCAGCAGGTTACAGCAGCGAACAATAAATAAAACAAGGCTGCTGAAGGTAACGTGGCCAATGGGGATACGTCACGTAACATCATATCTCCTGTGTGGAGAGACAGATGTGGAATGGAGGTATCCCGTCAATTGACTTATTTACTTTTATAGTCTCGTGGATGGATCATTGATTCCTGGACTTCTCATGTCAGGGGAGGGGGGGGTGCTTCTTCTCCCACTGCCGGTCCGAGACTCGGCCGTTGCCCCCCCCCCCCCCCACACACACACAGGTACGTACACCACAGACCGCACACAGGTACTCACAACACACACACACAGGTACACACACAAACAGGTACGCACACCACACACACACACAGGTACACACACACAGGTACACACACCACACACACACACACAGGTACACACACCACACACACACAGGTACACACACCATACACACACACAGGTACACACATCACACACACACAGGTACTCACACCACACACACACAGGGACACACCACACACACACACAGGTACGCACACCACACACAGTTACACACACCACACACACAGGTACGCACACCACACACACACAGGTACACACACCACACACACACAGGTACGCACACCACACACACACAGGTACTCACATCACACACACACAGGTACTCACATCACACACACACACAGGGACACACCACACACACACACAGGTACACACCACACACACACACAGGTACACACACCACACACACACACAGGGACACACACACACACAGGTACACACACCACACACACACACAGGTACACACACCACACACACACACAGTTACTCACACCACACACACACACAGCTGAGTGTGAGGACCAACGACTTCATTTCACTCGGCCCACGGGCGACACGAAGCCCATCACTTTGAAACGAACCCGCAGAAAAGTCGACATTTATCGGTCATCGCAAGCACCTTAGCCGCGTTAATTGGGCGCAAGGCCCGAAATGTTCGACCTCGCAACACCCGGGGTTTGTAATAATAATAATAGCGCAGGCAGCCACTTCTGTCACTGAAAGGGCCTCTTGCCGCGACAGGAATGACCCAGGCATCCGCGCGTGTGTGTGTTAATGTGCGGTTGTCTGTCTTTTTTTTTGCCTTCCGGAGACGGATGGATTGTGTCTTATATTCGGGCCCCGCGTAAGGAAATGGTTGCCCCCCCCCCCGCCTCCATCACCCCTTGCCCGCCTCAACCCCTGATCCTCCTCCCCGGAGTTCACCTTTCAGCTCGAGGCTGGGTGTGAATAAAAGTGTGAGAGGATTTCGTTGAGGTGGGGATTTTCACATTTCAATTATTGAAACCTAAACCGGGTCTTCTCTTGTTGTTGTTGTTGTTGTTTGGGTAAACGGATAAATATTTAATTTAAAATAAAATTCTAGGGATTGCATTGCCAAGGGTGGTCAAACACAGGCTTTAAAACTACAGCTGCTATATATATACATATACTAACACTGCCAACATAGCAAGGGCCTTAGATTACCGCAGTACCGGTTTTTGTTGTCGTAAGTTACAGTAACAAATAATGAGGGCAGTGGTGCAGTGGTTTACCGCCCTTTGCTACGAACTCAACAACCCGAGTTTGATTTCCCAGCCAGGGCTAGTGATATCTGAATCAATCTTTAGCGCAGAGTTTTTACCGGCCGCGCCACGAAATGGGAAACGGTCCCATGCTGTACTCGTACAAGGCCGTGTTATGTGAAAACCCTTTCCCATTACATTTCAATATTACTGACGTGTACCGCATAAGTACGTGTACGTCATCAGTTTTTCTTACGATTCCATTCTGACAAAGTACATGTAAGTCGAAATAAAATATATTCACCAGTATCCAGGCTCCCACAAGGTCGTGCGAGAGAGCGTGTGGTACAGTTTGGCACCGGCTATCGTAGAGTGCGGCCGTGTCGCTAAAATCCTCTGCGGTGAATTCGATGTCTTTCAAAACAACGGCGCTACGCCTTAAAGCTTTCGTGACTGCAGGGATTCATCTTCTTGGTTCTTTCGGTAAAGTCACGTAGAAGGGAAGTAATAAAATAATAAAAATAAAACATAATAAAATAAAATAATTCTCACGACGTTTCGGCTACAACGCAAGCAGCCGTCTTCAGGTGAAGAAGACGGCTGCTTGCGTTGTAGCCGAAACGTCGTGAGAATTATTTTATTATGTTTTATTTTTATTATTTTATTACTTCCCTTCTACGTGACTTTACCGAAAGAACCAAGAAGGCGCTACGCCTCTTTGAATAAAATTTACGTCAGCCGCTTGAGCGTTCCGAAATTCAGCTGTGAACGGGACCGCCCAACCCTGAAACTTTCAAACGTCTCGCAGCGGGAAAAGGTTAACCCTCCTCCGCTGAAAACACACTAACACGAAATAAACATTATGTTTTTATCATTCTCTGGCCCCAGCCCCCGCCTACCCACCGCCCACCGTCCCCCACCCCTCCACGGAACGACGTACCCCTATGGTTTGAAATTCACTCCTGTAGGGCAGCGTAGCGGGGAGAGCCGAGGCAGCCTCAACAGCTTCGCTAGGGGGGAGGGGGGCAGCTCTTTGAGAGTGCCCAGTGGGAGCTGAACAAGCAGCCGGAATTTACGCTACAAATACAATTTTGTGGAGACCGCGTTGGCAGGTGCCATGTGAAAACACGCAGGCTGGCAACGCAGCACTTTGCTACCAACCTCAGTTAAGAGGCGGTGTTTCGTTTGTTGTTGTTGTTGTTATTATTATTACTACTTTGCTTGTTTACCCAGCAACGTCTCAAGATGTTGTTTTGTCACGCTGGGTTCCTGCCAAGTGTTTGTTTTTTTTCACAATAATGCGAGCGGCAATGTAGCCGTGTGTTATTCCGATTGAGTAACTTGTAGATAATATTTAAGCACTGGGATGTTTTGGCCAATAACAGTTACGTGGTATATTGTTTTAGCTATGGGAAGAAAGCAGATAACATGGGAGACCACTCGTGGAGAACAGGGGGGGAGCACCACTGCAAAAAGACAAAGATCCCCCGTATAGCCTTAACAGACTGTAGGGGCAAGTGCTGTTACCGAGCACCTATGAAGGCCGCAACGGTACACGAGGGGGTGGGTGGCCAGCACCACGCCCGATCGCCTTTGTCTCCCCAGTGGCGATGTTTACACACCGCACCAGGTACTCATTTGAGGCTGAGTCGACCTAGGGGAGGCCCAGGACAGGTTCAGATAATCGTCACTGGTGTTGGCCGTGGACGGGAATCGAACCCGGGTCGCCAGGTTCTTGCTTTGAGGCACGAGTGTTACCACTGCACAATCCTGAACAGCAGCAGCAGCAGTTCCACGGTGCAGGGGTGGGGTGACCTCTGCCTAACCGATGGTCAAATTGGACTTTCAAATACAGCACACACACACACGTTACAACACGCCTAAGCGCGACCCAAAAATAGCACGAACATATTTCGGGCTCACCTCTACCACCCGCCGCTTTGCTTCACACACGCGCCGAGGTCGGGTCGCAGTTCCGAAGT